TATATATATATATATATATAATGCCCATCATAACAAAACTTTTTTCCTTTTTTTAAAATAAAAGTAAAGCAGTGAAATTATTGTCAAAATAAATCATGTCTTTATAAAAAACTTCTAAAAATACTAAATTACACATCAGCCCTCAAAAGCTACATGCCAAGAATTTCAAATATTCTTGTTTTTGCATAAAACTTATTTTTTCCAATTCAGGTTGAAATTAATTTATTTCATCTTCACTCCTCTGGAAACTCTTTATAACATCCTACATTCTTTCTGTCTTAATGCTCTATTATATTCAACTAACTTTTCAGTGTACTTAAAGATTCACTTGCCTCATCCTTGCTGTACTGGGAAAGGATCCCGTCACCTTCAAACTCTTTCAGGGTATCTTTGAGGTTTTTGGAAGAATCTGTAAATGATATGATAATTATATAGATCTATTCATTCTTCATATCCAGAGTCCCTTTAGAGGGACCAAAATGTTTCTGTGAAACAACTTTAGCTCAAAGATCTACGGAACAGTAAGCCCACGCATGATGTTTGCCATGTGGTATTTTAAACGGTGTATTTTACTGAGGATATGTAACTGCTGTATATGTCCATCTTTATTTGGCACTATTAGAGACACTAATCCGAGTAAAAAGTGACAATTTAAGTTTCTGATAATTTGATTGTATATTTAGTGAAACCTACAAAACTTGTTAAGATTTTTGAAATCTCAGCTTGAGGTGAAATAAACTATCTAGAGGGGACTGAATGGCAATGACATTTTGGTTCATGCCTTCAGTGCAAACATTATAGTATTTTTTTTTTTAATTGCTAAGGAGTAACAAATAAAATACGCAACTGTTTTAAGCTGTCAGTACATCAATCGGATAAAGCAGAATCGATGATGTGGAATGAAAACATCATGCTACATAAAAAAACAACTGTCAGAAACCTCTGTCAAGTCTGGTTTCAGTTCTACAAAATGCCACCCCTTAAAAGTGGACCCTTTCCAGTCACACCACCTATCCCTCAGTAATCTCCACAAGGGTTCAATACTACCTACCTTCAGATTAAAGAGTTCTCCTAAAACCTCCTCCCTTCCCCTAAATCAAACAAGACCCCGATACTTGCCCATGTCCTGAAGCATTTCTCTCACTTCGTGTCTTTTTCACCCACCCTTGGTACAAAAATACTTAGGTGGCATTGACATATGTCATCACAGCTAACCCCGGTTGCCATGGAAACACAGGTATCATGTCTACTTTGCTAATCACCTGCATTTATTTATAGACATGGTGATCACAGCTATGACAACTTCACCTCTGCCTGCAACAAGCACAGCTAGGGTTGTTATGAAGAGAAAGGAGCACCATGACAATTAAAATCAAGGTGCTATAATCAAATTGCAGCACAGTTTTTTTCTAGAAATTCTCTTCAAGAACATTTATTTTTCAGCTTCAGCTGCTCTACCTTCCTCCTTTCTTTTTGATAGGAAAAATCAGTTATATGTATTTTTGTTTTCTATAGTCAAAATTACTAAACAGACAGATCAATAGTTTCATATATCAATAAATGTACAAAAATGTAACTGTGCTTTGAAAAAAATATTAGCAGATGCGATTCATTTTTCCTTGTCAACTCTAACCCAGCAAAAGTACAGTTTTTGATTTTACAGTGATGAAAGTGGACCCCTCAAAAAATCCTGAAAATGTAAGAACCATTTTCAGATAGAGAATTTTTTCTAGCACCAACTATCAATTCAAATTGAGAATAATCTAAGCAGCAGTGTAAAGCTGTGTGAAAACATTATGATTTATCTTAAATGACATCCTTATGATGAAATCAGCTTTCACTTGAAATTACAGTAACTCTTTCAAAAGACAGTAACTTAAAATCAATTTCGACAACTATCCGAGATACCCATCTTTAGTCCACACTCATTATCTTAACAAGTAAGGCTATTTTTATACTGACCAACTGGTCAAATAGGAAGATAAAACTGGAAACCAATTACACATCTGGAAAGGTGTAAAATCGGTATTAAACATTGATGGTCAAGTTAATTAACGATACAGTAGTAAATTTTCTACCTGGCAGCTTTACCTGTTATGTGTTTGACTATCAGCTAGATGTTTTTTTTTACCATTTCAATTACTATAAACCAATTAAAAATGTAAGTTTATTTGAAATTTAAAAAAAAATTCCAAATCATTTGCAGGTAAAGTATTCCATAACTTTGTATCTAACACTGTGAATGTTCAATCAAAATGTGTTAACCTTTTTTCCATAATGAAGAGTTCTGATAGTAAATGATTAAAATTAGAAGCCCTAGTAATAAGTCCCTGTTGATATGATTAAAGAAGTTCAGAAATATATTGTGATGTTTCAGTATGGCAACAGACCGAAACTGACGGATATTTCTAACTACCATAGCAGCATATCGTGTATAGGGTAACATATTCTAAAAAATACTGGCATATTTCAATGGACTAACTTGCCACTTTCAACACAGTATATTGCAAATGATGATAATCCTCTTTGGTATCCCTTTTTTTCTCTGAAAATGATCGTAATCCTCTTGGCATTTGTACTGATGCCTTTTCTTTTCTTTTTCTGTTAAAATAAAAAGAAGAAAAGTAAACCCTCATACCAGGTGAACTTTAAAAAAGATAAAAATAGAAAAACTGATTTTATATACCTGTTATAAAAAAAAACCCACATGGAAGACCGCCTAGTGATTTATAATCCGTAGCTAATAAGTAAATCAATTATTTCTACTGTCACCACAAATCAATCCTTGACGTCACTGGCATCTATACTTAGCTGTCACTGCAGCCTTGCACCACTGTCACGCAACTGTTATTGGTGACACTGAAATACGTGAAACCTATGACAGCTAAATTTAGGCAGGGACAACTATTTTTACCGGGACTCATCTATATCAGTCTATATTTAGAGTGAATCTCCGACAGAAATAGACACCTTGTTCCAAATTCAGCTCCATGCTTGCATCAAAGTATCTGCCTTAGCATGTCGATGGGTTATTAAAACTGGTGTTAATTTGAAGATGCGTGTCACCAACAGGTTCTGGACGAAACAGTTACATGGTTATTACATCTGGTCTTGGCAACCAGTGAGTGAGTGAGTGAGAGAGAGAGAGAGAGAGAGAGAGAGAGAGAGAGAGGGGGAGGGGGCAGGAATAGGAATACCCTAATGAAGCACGTAAGTATAACTCCAGTCCAGTTTTACTGCATATCCTCCCCCATTTTGAGTATATGGCAGGTAATGTTTTTTTCTCTTTCTTCCTTCAAATCACAAATTAGTCCCACAAAAAATATAAGCTTCAAATACACAGTCTGTATATAATGATCATAATTGTCACTCTGGGTAAACGCATCCCACAGCCTGCTGTATATAATAAGGATTTTATATTAATTTCCATCCCACTATTCACAAATCCCTAAATACTACTTTAAGATCTCCTGAGACAACCTACGATGATTATTCTCTAAAACTGAATAAGACCAATAAACCGAACTGCTCTGCAATAAAGATGGATTTACAACACACTAAATTTTGGTCATAAAAAAAATTTTCAAACACCAATCAGGTTTAATCTTATAAAGCATTATTTCTGTAAGTTACTTCAAATCAGACATAAAAAAAAATAAAAACAATAACAAGGGATGAAGGCAAGGTTTTTGAAATCCATGAAGAATTACCATAGCCACAGCTTTCAAGCCTCTAGGTAATCAATTCTGACTTAGGAACCCCTGAGCAGCGGTAGGGCACAGCACACAGTGGACTACCAATCAATAGCCACTATTAGAGTGCGCAATAATCATGTCATTAGCACGGATTCGTTTACTAAGATGTCTGCTTTCACTGCCAACTGTGCCGAGTTTACTGGTCCAATTTAATTGCTGGTGCCATCTAGAATGTGTGGGGGTAAACTATGTTTTTTTTTAAACAGTGGGAGCTAGGCAGAGTAAGGGAAGGGAGGGGGTGAGGGTAGTAAAGGAAGGTAAAGGTCAAAGGGTAGGTATCAAAAAGAAAAGCATAATAATGACAGTATAATTGTCACTATAATCATCACACCTTCATAAGCAATCCTCAAGGATTGTCTAAAAGCTCACTTGCCATTCTTGAACTTACATGAAGAATACTCCTGGAGTTGATGAAACTCGGAAGGGGACAACTTTTGCCACTGGAATGTCATGGTGATGCCTTGGCAACAGTTGCTATGGTTACAATGCTGTCTTGGTTGTCATGGATACTTTGTCTTCACATCAAAGAGGATGGAATTCACTGTTATCATGTTGTCATTAAGAAACCAACACTGGAAGTAAAAAGTGGGAACTTCCCATTAGAGTCTTGAAATAACTTTTTATACAATGAACAAATTTTGCTGATAAAAACTTGTAAATGCCTACCAACCAAAATAAAACTTAAGCCTGTACAAAATTTGTTGCAATTAGTAATTCTATATAAAATATCTACTGCATTTTCGCCTCTTCAAACATTAAAACTCATACACAGTGGAAGTTATTTTTAAACAGTTTTTACAAAATGATCTGATGAAAACTGTCATTTAATTCACTAAATGATGAAAAAATCTTAGAGTTACCTAAGTATTTAAAATCCTGGTTTCAAATCACTGTATAATAATAGTATTTTACTGATTTTCTTCTAGAGAAGTTGAAGCCAGGTCAAATTGTCTTGTAGGCACTGCTCCCTAGTTTCAAGGCTCTGCAAAATAAATAATTCACTACAGATGATGGAATGCATTATTGTATTATCTTTAAGAGTTACACGTATACAACTGTCCATCTGTTTGTCAGTCTATCTGTCCATCTACACACGTCCGTGCGTGCCCACACACTCACACAATCACCTATAAAACTAAAAGCCACAAAGATTTGAGCGTACATTAACATGTGCATTCATATAAACTTGGATGCATTACACAATGGAGTGTATGCATGCACAGAACCCAGTTAAAATGCGTGTACGTTGTGCATAATGTTGTGTAAGCACATTCGCACATATCTTGCTTGTTGTAGTTCTTGAAATCATTCTCTATCCAGCGTTTAAAAAGGTATTTTACTGGCCAGTTATTTTTACTAACCCTGCTAACTTGAGTATATATATTTTCTTTTTTCTTCCTTTAATTGTTTTTCTGCTGGATAATTTCAACCTAATTATGAGATTGAACCAAATCAAAAATAAATTTGCCAAAAATTATACATATTTTGCCATTTTGTAACAAAAATAGAATGTCCAGCACCAGAGTGAAATGAAACCAACATAAAAATATCCTTACAATAAAACAAAACTATCCATTCCCTTATCTGTTCTTGTTGCAACATCCATGTTCCACATGACACAAAAGCCTG